TATCTAAAAATCAACGCAAGTTTACGTAATTCACAACTGCCATTTAATAAGCTAAACAATCTGCTATAAGTTATAAACAAGTTTGCAATAAGCGATAAGTTGCAAACAAATTTGCTTACAGTCTACCGAAATTCTCAACACGTTTGTCAAACTAAAACGGAACAATCTGCTAAGAAACAGACACATAAGACAAAAAAGTACAACAACATACATAGTACAACATAACATACAAATAGAAAAATATGTCAACCAACCTTTGGTATTTGTCTCATTGGATCCGTTCTTAATAGCTTAACTTCTTTCTCCAAAAAATCCAACTTCGATTGCATCACTTCAAAGCTCTTTAGCTGATCTTCCATTCGAGCAAGAACCAATGCAACACTACTCGCTTGTTTCTCTATTTTTTCAATTCTCACGTGAAATGTTTCAATAGTTTAAGCAGTCTCTACGGAAGAAATCGAAGCTTTTGACTCCATGATTTTCCTTTTCTTACTCCCCTTTGTTTTCAATTCTTTTTGACTTTTTAGTGAAGTCTTTTGGATATCACCATCTCCTTTCTCCACTTCAGACTTATCACCTCCATTAACATCCACTTCCTCTRGTCTAATCATTTCTATGGTTTTTGAACCTTTTTCTAGCCAAGTAARGGTTCCCAAACCTCCTTCTTTGCATATAGCTTCCATAAGAGTGTCAATCTCCTTATCATTCCCTTCACCATCTTCAACATCCCAAACTGTGACTACTTTCTCGTCGATGACAACATGCTCAATTTTATCCTAAAATAGAAAGATAAATTCGAGTATAACTAACATTTTTTTAGATTAGAAAAATTAAACAAAAGCGGGCATAAACACAAACATGTCACCTACTTGATCATTAGCTATAATAACATTGATATTGATGTTAATTTTCACTTGACCACCACTGAACTTCAGAAGCAGAAGACTCRRAGAATTAGATGGATGACRAATCTGTGATCCGAGACTTGGAACAACACTGTACAACCATATTTGAAGCGTTTGTATAAACCCATGTATTGTGTACGAATCTGCCYTTATGTCAGCGTCCCTCACGGATTTGATTAGCTTCTTGAAAGCCAGTCTACCCCACGGGTACATCTCAAACTTAGGCAAATCAAAAACCATACAAGCTAGTGAGAAAGGAATTTTCACCTTTTCATCGCAACCTAGGATGATAGTTGCTAAGATGGACAAATAAGCAAAACGAATTTTGTCTTCTCTTGACCAACTAGCAACATCATGGCACACTTGTTGCAATTTCTTCTTGCTTGGGCTCTTTCTTGTATCAACTTTCATCTTCTCCCATAAGTCGTTATGCACGTTTGTTCCCACAGGATCCTCACTCTTAGGAAAAGGTGCACAATTCAAACTAGTTATTTTTTCAAATTCCAATAGAGAGAACCGAGCTGGTCTACTACCAAACAAACACCAAATCTCATAATTCTTATTGCAAACAAGTTGTTTGCCAAGAAGGTATTCCACGTACAAGCTTGGATGACCAAGTGAACTTTTTTTCAACGAATCGTACAATTACCCCCAAAGACGAAGCACGAATGTAGTCCCATACGTCCTTTCCAACAGCATTTTGCACATCAATAAGAAAACTAGTCTTACTATGGTAATTGATGCTTTTTTCAGGACACGGTTAAGAACCAAGTGAAAATAATCGCAAAGGAAATCCCAAATCCACATTTGTTTGAGTAGACATCCTGGAAAAACAACATGAATTAACACATAAGTGTAGACAACAAAGATATAAATCGGTCCGAGAAAGAAAATTTATATCACCATATACCAAAAGAAAGAAGAAAAACSACTTCAAACTACGATCATCTATAGTGCTTTTAATTAGAAAAGCAATGACATTGTTTAAAAAGATTAAAGGATTAAAGAATTAAGGAATGTGACAACTAAACTAGATTATAATTTRAAGTTGCAGGAATGTGATGGGAAATGTTTTTATATAAAATGGAAAAGAGGAATATGCAAACAATCATGAGTAGAGGATATGGAAGAAAGGAGGCTACCTTCACAGATCAATTTTGTTGAGGTGAAGAGTCGACGGCGGTGGGGAGTCGGCGMCGGAGGAGAATCGGTGGYAAAYMRT